CCAGGCCCGCGGGCGTGGAGAAGCGCTTCTCGCACTCAGGGCAGCCATGGGGCTTCTCCCCCGAGTGCACACGGCGGTGGGCAGCCAGGTAGTACGGATGGGCGAAGCGCTTCTCGCACTCGGGGCAGCCATGAGGCTTCTCCCCTGCGTGCAGACGCTCGTGTGCGGCCAGGCGCGATGGGCAGCTGAAATGCTTCCCGCACTGAAGGCAGGGGTGAGCTCTCTCCCGGCATGCGGTACCAAGCTCTGGCTTCCCTCGGATGCCAGCCCCGCCAGCTTGGCTTGGATCCAGCCTCTCGCCTGGGTGAAGTTGCCACTGGTGGATCTTCAGGTCTCTCAGCTCCACAAGACTTTCCTGGCTCTTGGCCCTGGCTTCTCCATCGCACCCATCTCTGCTCCCGGCCACAATGTCCCTCTGCAGTTGGGGTTGGCCCTGCCTCTTGGGCTCAGGTTGGGAGCTTCTATCCAGCAGCCTCCATGAGAACGGCCGTGGCAGCTCCTGGGTTACAGGCCCTTCCTCAGCTCTGCTCAGGATCCCTGGGACAGAAAGAGCATCCACAGGTTAGCCCCAGCATTGTTAGCAATGGGAAAGCTCTGATCACTCCTCTCTGCATGCAGAGGAGAGAGAAAGCAGAAGGGAGACCTCATCTGGTCTCCCTCTGCGCAAAGCACCTCCTGCAGCCAGTCTTGCGTGGCTTCAACAGGGGCAAGCCCCTGGGCTTGGAGACCCTAGCTCTTCTCAGTGCCAGCCTCTGAGAGCTCCTCCTTTTCAGTCAACTCCTGGAAAAGATGGGGAGTGCCGACATCCCCTACAGTGTAGCAGACGTGGCTCCGAAACAACCGTCTTTCTCATGCCCCTCCAGTTCCCTCTACACTGGTCTGATCTGGGACTTCTCACCCAATAACACACATCAGAATTGCCACGGACTGGGTCAGAGTAGGTCCTAGGTTCATTGTGTCCAGTCTCCTGCATCCCACTGTGACAGAGCTCCTTTGCTAATCCCCCAGTAATCGACTTCTTTTCTTCAGCTAATTGTTTTGTCTGCTGCCCCTAGGAATTTCTCCTTTCTGACTGTTCCTTGCTTTTCTTTGCTATGTTGGCTTTTATTCTTCAGCCCTAAAGAAAAACATCTTGCATTCAAAAGCTTGTCTAATTATACAGGCGGGCCAATAAAAGAGTTGGTCCTTAAGAAATCTTGGCCTCTCGTGTAATTCCTGGACCCTCACAGCTATGACATCACTCTAATGCTACCAAATTCCACCTTTTAATCCTGCTTTCAGGTAGAACGAGATTTAATAAACTTCACCTTGTTTGGGCATCAGTGAAGTGTAAGCAGGAGTGTAAAGGGAGAGTTTTGAGCTGATAGGTATAGAGATATTATCATAAAGCTTGTTTATGTATTAGATTAAGTCATGCGAATGGACACTGATTGGAGCAGACCCCAGATCCTGTCTTGCCCGTCTCCTGTGTCACACACTGCAGAGAGCGGAGACTGGAAAGGAGAGTGAGCTGGGTTGGGGCTGAGATTTTCCCCCTGTTCCTCTCTCCCTTGAAGCCTCCAGCATTGAAGGTCCAAGAGATTCTGATTCAGAGGCTGAGCCCTTCATTCCCAGGCTCAATAGTGACCAATGCCCCTTTTCCTCCAAGAACGGGTCCAATCCTTTGGTGGATCCGGCTACACTCTCAGCTTCCACCACAGCTGGTGGCCACAAATCCGAGCCTTTCCTACCTCGCGGGTGACAAAGACATGCCTGGTGTTCGTTATCAACCAACGACCTCCTAGTTCCATGTCGTGACCCCTCATTCTTGTCTGGTGACTTTCTCAATAATAAATCCCCAGTGACTTTCTCTTCACCCTTCAGTATTTTGGAAACCCTTCTCCTGCCCCCCCTCCAGTGTCTGTCTTCTAACCTGACCAGGCCTGGCCTCATTAGTCTCTCCCACCAGGGAAGCCCCTCCATAGCTCTTATCATCCTTGCTTCCCTTCTCTGAACCTTCTCTAGCTCTTCTCTGTCCTGTTGGAGGTGCAGGGACCAGAGCTGGGTGTAGTCTTCAAAGTGTGGATGCACCGTGGATGTACAAAGGAGTATCATGAGACTTTCTGCTCAAGGGCCTAAGGAAAGTTTCCTTGGGGGGCACTGGGAGAAGAGAACGAGCTTATCAGTGGGAGCCTCAACCCTCAAGGAAACCTGGCAACAGAGAGTCTCCTGCTGATGGATAGCACCTCCTGGTACCAGAATGGGCACAGCCCCACAGCTCTTACCTGCTTCAAGGGAAGGACCTTGCATGGGGAACCAGCCTGAGGAGCTTTCATCTGCTGATGAGTCCCAGGTCTCACGTGCATCGGGGGAATCTGCAGTAGGACAAAGGCTGGGGTTTGCTGGGTTTTGCCGGTTGCCCCTGTCCCCCCTTTCTGCTACAAGCATCAGAGGCATTGGGTGTTGGCTGCAGCCCAGGCTGGGGATGGGGACTGGGCTGTGCCAATGCTCCTGCTAGGACCAAACTTGGAGGGTCATAACTATAGGGTCTGGCCCCTCTGCTCAGGGCCAGATCAATGCCAGGTTTTTGGGTCAGCAG